AGTATAAAAGCACACTGCAACAGAGTATCAAAGGGACCACACTCCATTAACAGTCAAATACTGGCTTAGCAAGTAACTTAATCTCTTATGGCAGCTCTTCTGCATACAGTAATACTGTTTTAAACAGCTGTTTTAAACAGAACACAGGCAAAATCACTCTCAGATAAGAGTGAAGTAGTACTAGAATAAAGGGGGAAGATTTCAAAGACTTAACCTTGCTGCTAGCCCAAATGTGAGGCATTTCTTACATACTTCTTCTTGAACCAGACTTGTTGGGAGTGACAAGGCAATGCCTGAGGAACAACACAACACTCTCTTGCACTGACTCCACACCAAGCTGGGCTTGATCTACCATTCCCACTCTGCACTTTCTCCCAGTGTAATTCCACTGGCTGCCATGTGGATGTGGCAGTGCTGGTGAGGAATACAGCACCAGTGAGTCCCAAATACACTTCCAAGTGACACTGGTATGCCCTACAGCCACAGACATATCCTTGGCTCTAGCAGACCTAATGCAGTTTTACAGCAGGACAATGAACCTAAACCTGGACAGCTGAACTTAGCATGTTCTGAAACCAGTTCATTACCTTTTTGTACATATCATGGTAACAAAATGAGTAACTACAAAAAAGAGCAGGTCGCTAGCACCTTGAGATACAAATCCTGAGTGATTAATAACTAGGAGTTATTTCCCAGTCCCTATTTCTATTCCTGACTTTAATATGCAGCCAATCCTCTTGTGCTGCCCTCTGTGCACATTTGAACACAATGTAGTTTCACTGTAGTATACAAGGATTCAGAGTAAGTACTTTTATCACCCCTAAAGAAATATAAGCAATATGCAATCATTCAAGTCCACATATGCTCAGCCTAAAGTATGAGCTTTTAATTTGCTTTGTAATTTGATTTTAACTGTATCTAATAATGCCAGACTATGCTTTAGCAAACCAACTCATAATATGATTATTTCCAAGTATCTGTTTTAGCTCAGGGCATATTGTGCTAGGAAAAATTAATGATTAATCATAGGGGTTTTTTAATAAAGAAATTCACAGAAAGGCTAGGCAAACAAATATACAGAAATTTGTAGAAGCTACTGGGAATCTATACAGCATATTTCCAAATGTCAATAGAAACAGGATTATCTTTAGCGATGGAGCTGCTTTGTTTGCTCCCCTGAAATATTTATCACTCTATATTGCTGCAACAGGCAGCTTCTAAGATAAATCCTGCATTGAATGAGAGGTGGGTGATATGTTAGAATATATGCCATGGGTGTAGATATATCTGTGCAGTGTTAGACTTAGATACCACAGCTAGGTAACAATTGCATGGTATTGGCCTGCCTATTGATGACAGGCAAATGACAAATTTTTTGTCATGGTTGAAAATATTAAAGCACAACCATACTCGAGTCTATTCATATGTACCTTGCTTTCCTTCTCAGCAACTCCAGTTGTCTCCTTATCTCCTGCCTCGACATTCTCCTGTATAAAAAGGAAATATGATCATCACCTTACACATGCTGAAGCAATAGCTGCAGAGAAATTGGTATTAATCAAGCTAATAGAAGCATGACATGTATGGGATGCAATGAAATGAATGGCTAAATGGGCTAGTATATACTATCGAGCAGAAAGATACTGCCCCATATGATCTGAAATAGAAGTATTTGTGTGCTAAAACAAACCCTTTACATATGTTATCATCATCTCACTGTTAAGGACAACTTGAGTTTTACTACTAAACACACTACTAACAGCACCAGCTTTGAAGAATTGTTTAGTAAGGAACCTTGGAGTTTCCACCAAACTCAAATTTCTCCTACCGGGGACTCAAACTGTTTCCATTATCATCTGCTGCTGCTCCTGTAATTCACCAGGACCTCCGTGTAAACTTCATAAATTACTACTTCCACTCATGTTGGACTGCAGCTCATTTAAAGGGGCTGTTCAAAAGAAGTGGATCACAAAGTTTGGGGTTTTTTTTTGTTTTATTTTGTTAGGTTTTTGTTGTTGTTGTTGTTGGGTTTTTTGGTTTGTTTTTTTTTTTTTTCATACTCACCTTACTTTGGGTCCATATTCAGTGGTACATGCAGCAGATGCCCGACATAAAAAAATTAGACATCAGTGGTTTTCCAAATCTGACACCCATTTAGGAGTTCAAATGATTGAATGCACTGACCAGTAACAAGCTCCTCCCAAATAGTACTTGTTACTTGTTACCAGCAACAGGCCCTTTTCTACAAAAGGTCAACAGTCAAAACCACTAAAATTCAGGTTTGGTGTGGAATAGTTGGAAGGGCTTTTTTAGCTGTTCAGGTTTGACTCTCTGCAGACATGGCTATTTCTAAAGACACTCTAAGCAAAACCAAGCAAAGCAAAACCAAGTCAAAGCCCCGTTATGGAAATCAATTTTGCTAATAAATTCTGACACAGCTAGGTCAGATTTTTCTGCAGAGCTGTAAGGGTGAAGAGAAGTTATGCAAGCATACTTGGGGGCATGGTATATTGGAGAGTCTGCTTTGGCAGTCAGAAGCCAGGAAACCTCACATACTCGGGTTCCAGCTACCTGCCTTCACACACAACTGTCAGGTCAAAATTCCTTGAAGTTTCAGCTGAAATGGTTGCATATTTCTTTTTTTAAAAAAGAATGGTGAGTTACATGCAAACTTCATATCACTCCTTTTTCTACTCTAACCTAGCATTGCTTGCAGTCAGTCATAAGCCCCAAACATGCCCAGATGCCAGGACAGGGTAGCTGCTGACAGTAGTGCTGGCAAAGAAACCTCTTACAGCCTTATCCCTGTTAAAATTGCAGTGTTATATAACCTTTTTAAAATGATTAATTCCTTTTTTTCTTAAGTTGCCAAGCCTACGCTATATGGTCTTCAATTTTATAGTAAGTTTGAGGAGGCTGTAGAGGGTCTTAAATAGAAAAAAACAAATATCAGCAGCAAAATATAAATATTTCACACTCTAGTAATGTATGAATGCACAGAGCCACCCAGAGAAATATTTTTTTTCCTAGGGCAGAGCAAACTGTTGCCCATAAAAGTTGCTCAACTGCAAGTCAATACACAGATGACTTCCCTAATTGTACTATTAAAAAGTGCTGAATTTCTGCCAGAAGCTGTATTTACAATTTGCCTTCAGAAATTAGTATAATCTTGCACTTCAAAGTCAGGAACATGTTGGCCTTTTTCATTTTCTTAGTAATTCCCTTGCAATATTCTCTGGTAAGAATCCCATCAGCCCAGCTTTGGGTTTCTTTGCAGAATGATTTAATATATGCATATGCATATTTTTAAACAATAACTATTTTCTTATTAACTAAAACCACAAATTTGGTTGGAAAGGTGAAAGTAAGGAGAGCTTCTTTTATCTCCCGAAGACTGAACTTTCCTGAAGCTAATTTGACTATTGTGTACTAGTCAATTTAGTAGCATTTTGCTTTTCTGATTAGCTGGAAGTTGGGATTTTGTGGATAATGGAGTTTGAGAAGAAAGGCACAATAAACTGTATCACTTTTAGGGCATGAAACCCTAGTAAAAAGGATGACTGGAATAACATTAGGAAACTAAAACCCTGGTTCCAGAGAGAAAAATCTGCTTCTGGAGACTTCAACTATTCTACATCAGTTCTCCTCTGTAAAAGAGAGCCTAATATTTTTAATGGCCTTATGTTCCCACTTTTTAACCTGCACTTAGCTTCACGCTCAGAATCCAGGCACAGCTGACTGCTCTTCTGTATCTAACCATTGTATTGCTCTCCCAAACTACACATTCCACCATTTGGGCACCACCAATAGTACCCAAAGTGGGATTGAACTTTAATTAGATATGCTTGGTTGCAGGCTGTTCCCAGGCCTCTGCTGTACTCACTCTGTCTACAAAAAGCTTCATGTATGCTTATATACACTGAAAAGCACAGCATTTAGCTGAGCATCTGACTGCTTAAATGGGAGAACATTATAGTCCAGGCAGGCATCAGACCTGAAGCACTGAGAAGTTTTTCCAAACTACTAAGTGCAGTGGAAGTAGAAAAGATGATCTTCAAGCACTATGTCTCACATGCAGGAAAAGAAAAAGGGAAATGGCAACATTTCATAAGTATTCACTTTATTATTATGTCCTCATGACATCTTTGGTTGAATGTGAAAAAATGATGTGATGAGAGGGGCAGTATTATTTGAAAAAGAAAGAAGCCAGTGGTTAAGGCAATATATCCTTCAGACTATCCTTTGGATTTATAGCTGCCTTTGGGGATGCTTTAGAAACAGAAAAACAACTCTTTCTGTGTGGAGAATTCCATGCATAAGCTGTTTACCATGGTTAACTTTTCTTCTGTTGGCACACATGGTCATTCTGTCCCTTTAATTATCATTTCATCACCTTCCCAGAAAGGATCAAATGTTGAGGGCTACTAATAAAAACGTTATTTGTTTTATGGCACTGGAGATCTGAAGGACCAAGACAAAGATATGCAGAGATCCTAAGCAACAATTTTGATGAGCTCTTCTAATGAAGTTTTGCCAATCTTGATCGGGCAGACTATGAAACAGCAAGTAACTGAATCCAAAATGTCCAGACAGGCAAGTAGTACCCTATCCCCTGGACCATTCTATCCATAATTTAAATGAACACCCTACCAGAAAATTTACTGTGAAGTTCCTATAATGAAGGATCTATGCCATAAATTTTTTGGGTTAACCGGATATGACTGGAAACTTACCACAGAAAAACTCAACTGAGGACTGGCTGTCACTCAAAACTGGAAGCAGTTAAACTCAATAAAAGATTCCTAATTAACATTTTACAATTCTACTTTTAAAGAAAACTGTCACTCATAAAGCAAATGAATGTAGAAGTGCTGCTGGGAAATGACATGTTTTCATCTTTTGCAATTCAGTGTACTTTTCCTGATCTTTGAACATATTTGTCATTAATCCTAATCTTCAAAACCCTTCTTAGCAAAGAAAAGGTTCTTGGAAAACCCCCTCTGAAATAAAAGCCTTTCAGAAACGAATGCAGTCACTCCATTTCAGGCATTTTTAAAACCAACACTTTGGGTTTTTTTCCCAAATTAATAACGACAACATGATTTTGAACTAGCAACAAAACACCAAGAACAAACCTAATCAAAACTGTTTAACTTCTATTTAATGCCTATGCTCCTCCTCTTGGATTGCTCTTAAATTGTCTGTCTCTTGCATTGTTTATCTCTACCTCTCTTCCAATAGCTCTGCACTCCTGTGATTCAGCCAGAGCAGCTGACAACAGACCATGGACCCAGAACTCCTCAGGAGCAAAATGGATGAACTGAAAAGGTCATGCCAGCCAGCAAGCAAATGCACGATACTGCAGAGACTATTTAATTAGTGCTTAAGATGTGCAACAGGCTTCAGAGTATTGCTTTATCTTAGTGCAGGACAAAAATGTTTCCTTTTGCAAAAATGAGGAACTTATTTTACTTTTTTTTTTTTCAAAATAAAATCACTTTTCTGGCTTCATTAATATCTGTTCTTCCACATTATTCCCTGCCATGCACTCATGGGAAGAGAAGAGCTCCAGATCAATGACCAATTTTCCACTCCTTCTCTCTCCACCTTCCCTCCCACTTTCTTTATTCCAAACCATCACATTTACATGAGGCATTTTTGTCAACAGTCTGACAAAACAATGTGCCTTAGATAAGTAATTTAATTTTCTGCCTTCCTGTAGAGTTAACACTATGAACTGAAAACACATAGAAGGGGAGAGGCTGGTCTACACAAACCATGAAGCTTTCTTCATCTAGTTATGTTAGTAGAAGGGGATGATCCTGAAATAACTTCCTCCAGTGTGAACCATGGAACTAAGCAAAAGTGAATTAAAATATGAAACAAATACTCAAAATTCATGCAAGTGTAATCAGAACTAAACCTAAATGTAGTTCTGGGGAAGACTGTGACTGCTTCCCTCCATAGGTCAAATGCTGCTAGGCATCCCCAGAGAATGGGTAAGGTTGGACAGAGCCAGGTATTATCTGCCCTTTCCCCCAAAGTCCTGCAGAACAGCCCATCTAGTCCTGCCCAACTTTCCTCATGCAATAAATTATTTTTTCTTTGTTAGGAAGAGCTCAGCAGCTTGATATCTGATAATTAGACATCTATCCATGCTCTCTGCTGCCACATTTATAGGTGCATGTACAGATACTTCCACTTTCTTCAGCTAATTTGCATCTACATTAGCTTAATATTGATATCCATATGGCAGTGTATCAAATGCTTACTGAAAACCATGTAATTTTATGGTTATTTGGGTATCATCATCCCTGCTTAGCAGCAGAAGACACACAGGGTCTCCCCAAGTCCAAGTGCAGCTTAGCAAGCTTAAACCTTCTCATCTAAGAACATGTGTAACACCAAACTATGCTTGATAGACAAAGAGCACAGTTATGTATCTTCCACCAGCTTCTGTGGCAGAGAAACTGACACACAAAACAACCCCCTTTTTCCATCCAGTTTTTCAGTAGTAATCTTCATATTCTACCAGCAACTCAGCAGAGCCTCTGAACATGTTACTGTCTTCAGGAAAGCATGAAAAATGTCAGACTACAAAAACAAATGCAGTTTTCCTCCAGGGTTTCTTAGCCTGTGAGTATCATCCACCACCAAGACATTCTGACACTAGCCCGTGTAGGAGAGGAACTTCAGTTGGATAAAAAGAATATGCACTGAGATACCTGTATAAAAAGGGATGCTAGTTAGCAGAAAAACTCCATGCCTACTGTCTCAGACCACCTCTTAATTTACTTCATTTTAGTGATATTGGACGCCTTGCTTTGTTCCTCATGCAGAGCTGTAATTTTTTCTTCATCTCCTGAATTCTGACCTGTAAAAAGTCTCCCAGCTGGTGTTCAGTGTCCTCTCTTTGGCTCACAACTGGCTTCTAAAACTGTGAGCCTTGTAGACCTACTACAATAACTTTTTAATGGAATTTTCCTGCTCTAGTAAGGACCATACAAGATGTATATTAGCCTAGTGCTTGAAATGAAATGAGAAAATTGCTAATAACGTCATTTAAAAATGGTATCAATTCTTTCCCATTCTGAAGTTCATCTGGCATCAAACAACTTGTGAAACCACAACCACTCAGCCAAACTTGAATCTAAGATGCCCACTGTAAGACGAATGACATTTTAGGGCTTAAAGGGGCACAAGCTGGAGAGGCATGCTGTGACACAGTAGGCAGCAGAGAAACCAGCCATGGAGGATGACAGTGGAAAGGATGGCTGAAATGCAGCAAGCACATTCACCACAAAAAAAGGGGCTCCGATGAGGCCTGGGAGGTGGCATAGAGGACAGATCACTCACCACAGCCTGCTCTGCTGGCTCAGCAGGGATGGCCTCCTTTTCCACAACAGCAGCAGCAGCAGGGGTTTCCTCAACCTTAGGTTCCCCAGGTGGAGTTTCTTCAGCCTCAGTCTTTTGTTATTGGTTTTTAAGTAGATAGTGGAAAAATTGTTGAGGAGCATATGATGTTGGGGAGGAAGAGGGAGAAAGGGAACTGTGCCTGGCACAGTGTTGCTTCAGGCTCAGTCTTGCCAGGCTTTGTCCCCAGTAAAAGACAGCATGTAAAGGGCATTTTCATCATCAATGTTCTCTATGTAAAATGAGCCAGTCCTACATGCCTCCCTCATAAGGAAAGCTTCCTGAGTTACAGTGAGAGGTAATGGAAGTACAATTGGGAATGGGGGGAAAGCACCCAGTTTGCTCAAAAATGCTCCAGAAACTGCTGGCAAGGCCAGAAATTGAAAATGGCACCCATGTGTACCAACCCTGGTCTTCAAAACATGAGTTCTAAAAATTACCTCCTCCCTGGTTCTGTCAGTTCTCAGACAATATACCCTCCTCCAGTGAGGGTAAGAAGTAATGAGCAGAGAGTGAGACTCAAACAGTTTTTATACGCACAAACAATGAGTGATTGAATAGTAGCAATGAATTCTAGCAACCACCTCTGTTTTCTTATTAAAATGCATTCTCTCTTGAGCTCTTAATCACCTACAAGGCACTCATTTATCAACCCCTCATTGGGATTTCCACCCTTTTAAATTCTGGCCTCTGCTTGTTTTCCAACAAGAGGATCTATGAAATATCACCAGCCCTGTAACATGTTCAGTCTTGTGGCAAAATAGCTCACGGCAGAAGAGTGATCTCCAATAGAGACATTACTCTACAAATACATGCACCTAACAAGGGGAGAACTCCAAGCTGTGCTCAGCATATTTGATATATAAGATGGCTGACTCAACCAGATTATCATAACCCCAATAGATTAATTTTCTGTGAACAAATTGCTCAGCATAATATAAAGCTCAAAAGCAATTGCTTTGCAGTTGATAACAGGTTGCTGGCTAGAATCTGGTATCTCCTGTGAAGAAGAGACAGCTTCTATGAAATTCTTTAACATCTTAAAGATCTTCTCCTCCTGATATTTTTCAGGAAAAAACCAAACATAGCCTTTCAATTCTTTGCATATATTCCTTAAGCAGGCTGATTTTTAATGAGGGACAACATCTCTGTAATGACTTACAGAGAAGTCTGCTTATGCAAGATCTTCAGGATCTGGCACAGCATTAAGGAGCATTCACTCCTATATTATACAATACTGGGCAAAAATTTCTCTGTGTACTGCATTAATGACAGCTCTAGAGAATTCCATAAGAAGAAATAGGATTGAAATGAGAAACATAAAGTAGATTTATCCCACGTAATGTGTCTCCTGGCATTTAATGCTGGAAGATTCTTTCAGATTTAAAATCACAAGTAACATAAAGCAGACTACATTGATGTGCTTCAAGTCACTTGTTGAAGAGCATACTTCAGATGACTTACACTACAGCTATGAGTAAAAATACTCTCACAATATTAACCATACCGAGTACAAACACCACATTAAATAACATTAAATATCACCCTGCTGCTATTAAGTAACTACAGCACTCAGTCAGCAATGCTGTTATTCTCATGCTTTTTCCAGGCTAAGCAAAGACTGTAAGAGGAGTTAAGAAACTCTGGTACGACCACTTCCAAGAAGATTGTTCCCTCCTTAGAATTAGACTGTGCCCACCATTAATATGGTGGTGAGTTGATAAAATTACAGCAGTTTTGGAGATATGTAACAGCTATCATGTACTATCAGGTCTTTGCTGTACACTGGACCATAGTACTCATTCTAGTAATTTCTTAAATGCAATAAATGAACAAACTGTTTGACTACACCTTTATAAAATAAACATACCTTACAATGTTCTGGTTTTCTTTTCTTTTGCTCTGTGTTATCCTTGTGAAAGATTGTTTCAGTGAGTATGGATTTACAACTACAATGATTTCACCAGCTCTTCCATATGGAAGACTTGCATAAGGTGATGTAATTTAAAGGATAGAAGACAACAACAAAAAAAAGTGAAAATATCTTTGCAAAAATGAGAAATTGTACCCTTTTTGACAATTTAAAAGGAACTAAAAGCCACAACTTACCAAAGGTTCTTCCACATTCTCATTTGATTGCACTGTAAATGCAGATATATCCTAGACATAGAAATGAAAAACATATGAACATAGAAATGAAAAAATAATACAGAAATGAAAAAATAATGTGAAAATATTTGAGACAGCATATTTGCAGATGTCCATCAAAGACCTGATTTTTTAATGGTTTATTCAGGTAAAATCACTAAGTACATTTACATAGAATAAGATGGCAAATAAACGGAACTAAAATTATATTTATATTTATTTATATTATCTGAGTACTATTAATTTTAAAAACATTATTTTTTCAGTTATAGATTCAATGTTTCTAAACCAACATTTTTCACCTCACTAAAGATAGCGAATACTTGGATTCACACCCTTCATTAAATACACATGATTCACAAGGACTTCATTTAAGGTGCAATGCACTTCTAAGTTGTGGAACTCTGAATCCTTTTTGTAGACTACACATTGCTGTGCCTGCAGAGTATGCCATCTGTAAGGTACTTTCCTCTTGATCATGGGCTTTTACTTGAATAATAACTATAGCAATTACAAATACAAAATTTTACCTGTACTAAGTAGAAAAATGGAGGTGTTTCCCAACATCTTGCTCACTCAGAACCAATTAATTTGCAAAAAATTGCTGGGCCAATTATTTTCCTACCACAGAGGAGAGAGAAAATACGTATTTTCTCCAGATAAATATTTTGCCTTAATTATCAGATCCTTGTACTTTGCCCTTCCATCTGGATCCATTACTACACCAAATGTCCTGGAACAGAATGGTTAATCATAGGATTTCTCCTATCATGTCCTACCATCCTCCTATCATAGGGATTCTCCTAATCATCTCATTTCCATCCTTGTATAAGCTGAGCCTTTTTGGGTACTATTAAAATTTGGTGTAGAGGGTGTGCTGTGGTTGAGTCAGTCTCTAAGAGAATGCTGGAAAATAATGAGGCCCTAGGTAGTCCCCATGAAATTTGGGATCTTAATACAGCCCTGGAATCTGAAAGCATAAGCACTGTGTGTTGATGTGTTGTATCTCTGTGATGCATACCACAGACTCACCATCACCACTACAGCAGATAAACAACTTAGGTTAAACTTTGAGAGCAAAATGTATCTTAAGTTAAAATGAAGAAAAAAATTAAAACTTACTACATATTTACACACTGTTACTGAAAAATAGGTTACTGAAAGTTACTGAAAATAGGTGAAACTGAAAATGTGCTTTACAGGATTTTGGGATTGTGATAAAAATAATCCACAAAAGAGCACAATAAAACAGCTAGACTAGCAATTTTGGGAGAAAATAGCTGTCCCACTAAGGTAGTCAGGTTTTTTGCTTTAGACTTAGTCAGGCCAAGAGTCCTATTAGAAGGCTATTATAATCTTTCTAGCAACATCTAAGAATTTCTGACAACAGACAAGGTCTGGATTTGAGACACTATGATGTTTCAATGCAGCTTGTCTGTAGAACAGATTTCCTGAATTTATATAGCCAGTTCTAGTGCCTTCCTAATAGCACAGAAAAAAAAATTATCTCAAAACCTGTTTATTTCTTACCTGTGCAAATCCATTAAATGCTATGGTGGATGCCTAAGTAGAAGTGAAGATCAGAACAAATTATCATTTGTTTACTAAATCTGATCATGAGTTAAAACATTTTTATTTGCAAAATAAAAATGCAAGGCCAGACATAAAAAAAAAAAAAAAAAAAGGAACAAAAAAGAAAAAATAGAGAAAAAAATAAAATTAAGGGTAAGGCAGCAAGAAATTTTTATAACAGTGGTATTTGATAACAGACATCACAGGCTTAAAGAAAATGAGAAAAAGAAGAGTACCTTAAATATTTTTAAAAAACAATAATTAAAAAAAAAAGGCCAGGTGCAAGATCTACAGATAAAACACAAAAGCTGCCAGACAAAATGTGTCTTCACAGTTCAATGCTTCATTCACCATTTTGAAATGAGTTTTTGTCAGCCTGCTTGAAGGGCTGAAGGGCACCACACCATGAAGAGTTGCATGGCAATTTTTCAAAAAAAGAATAGCATGGACTTAGGAAGGGCAGTAGGAAACACACAAATGGAATGTTTTAAAACAACAAGCATATGCATGGCCTAAGGAACTCTTTGTCTAGACTATGCTACAGACTGGGGTAGGTACCTCTTCTTTATCAGTCTCAATTTCCTGGTACAACAATCCATATCTCCGGTTAGCAATTTCATCTTCAGATAAATCTGAGTTGTTGGTATCATTGTCTTTAGGACTACTTGAACTCTCGGTGCTAGCATTTCTGGAATTTCCCATTTGAAACAGAGACAAGGGTCTAGCTATCTCCTTGCTCGGTCCAGGATTGCTCATGCTTGCCTGCTCCCCAGGCAAACCTTGCTTTACTAGTGTCTCCTGAATTATGTGGCCTGTGCTTGCACCTACTTCCCCCCAGCTGTTATCAGTAGCTCCTAGGTCTTCTGTGGACCATTTATTACTAATGCCTAACCAAACATTTTCCATATTACCTTCCTCTGAGTTTTGATCCTTGGGGAAAAAGGGCCAATTATCCAGTCCATTGGCTTGGCTATCTGACAGACTAGAAAAACCCCAGGAATCATTAGTAACTGTTGGATCCCAGTTTGCCAGCCAGGGCTCTGTTTCCAAGGCTTCAGGGACACCACTGCTGATCACTTCAGTGACTGCTGTTGCTGTCCTACTTGTCACTTGGTCATCTGCATTATCTAGGCAAGGATTATCACAGCTTGTGCTAGCAGCATCAGCTGCCTTGGGCAGCAATGCCCACTGTTTTTCAGCAGCAGCTTGACCTTTAGTACCAGTACTACCATTTGGGAGGTGGCTGATGCTGTTATCTTCAGTTCCTTTACCAGACTCTTCAGCACTGAATAATTCAGCATCACATAGATCACTTCCAGTATCTGGAGGGTACTTGCCTGTGTGGTCTAGGTCAACATGTGCCCTCATGTTTATAGGGTCCATGGATGTACTCTGTCCAGTACCACTGTCAGTTTGATCTAAGGCCTCCTCTAATGTATTTCCATGGTCCTCATCCCAGATACCAAGGACTCTCTCAGGTTCAGAGCCAGTGCTTTCTATAGTCTTACAATTGTACGCCCCTATTTTGCCCCCACTTTCCAGCCCTGTCTTCAATGATGGCATTTCTCTATCCATCTCCTCAATGACATTGGCCTGTTTGAATTCTTCTTCTGTAGAGTCTTCTAGGTTAGCATCACTAGCTCTCCCAGTATCCCTATAATTATCTTCAAACTCATGTAAATTTTCTACCTCTCTGCTGACCAAAATTTCAAGATCTGATTTTGTTAAACTGTTATGAAATTCTGCCTCACTGTTTCCTTTGGTTTCACAACCTTGCTCTTCCAGTTCCTCTGTACCTTCTACCTCCTTGTAGTTAGCTCCAGTCTCTACCTTTTCACTTGGCTTGACACCTGCCCACTCTTCTTCCTCACGCTCTTCCTCTGCTTTTTGCATATCACAGGGGAGTGGTTCATCCAACAAGCTATCAGTTCTCAGGATGGGTGCCTCAAAACTGGTTACATTCTCTAAAGGCTGATTGGTCACCACATCTTTCCACACGATACTTTTGGCATCCAACTGGTCCTCTAGTGAAGTCCTCTGGTTTTCACTTACAGAAGCTGGCCCTGGTGCAGCATCCTCCTGCTCACCTACTGCAGGCCAAACATTAAGAGGCAGAGCACCTGTGGATTCGCTTGAGGTCGGCTCTGCCCTGGGGAAAAGCAAAGAACTGCCTGCAGTAATTTCCTGGCTGACACTGGGTGTGCTAACATCTAGGCCCCAGCTGAGTGAACCTAGATCAGTTTGAGATCTGTTAGTATCTTCTGATGACCCACTGTTTGGGGTTTCCTCCATGATCAGGTTACACAGGGAAAGACTTTTTGAAGAATCAGGCTTTAAGCAGGCAGAAAAGCAAAGAAAAAACACAAGATGAAAAAGATAAAGGCGGACTTGATGAGAAAACACAACATTTATATTTTACAAGAGCAATTTTAACCTAAATGAAGTGACTACATTAAGCAATTTTAGGAAAACCTATGTGATTTGCAATCTGAAGGCAAAAAATGCAAAAGAGCAGCACTGATACAAAAAACCAGAAAACTATGTATTACACCACAGTGATTAAAGAAGTCTCTAGAGTGGTTGTGATTTTGGGGGGTGGTTTGCTTACCGGCTGCACCAATTCGCTGCTTGTCTGTATAGAACGAAGTCATACACATAAAACACAGAAAAGAAGAAATAATTTACTTTGATACAGTAGCAGTTCATTAATTAGCAGTTCTCTAACCAGCTGCAGTTACCAAATCAGAGTGGGGAAGGAGTGGTGGGTCCTTTCCCACTACTCCACCCAAGACTACTTCCAAGCCTGTGAATTTCAAACCTCTGAATTACATTATAAAAAAAGTTCTTAATGTATGTTGAATATTGATCACCTCTTGCTTTCCCTTGTGAGTCACTGACATTTTTATTTCAGATGTTTAGCTATGAAGCACACTGGCATTTTTAAAAAATAGAGCAAAGATTAAAAAAATGATAATACAGAATAAATACATAACATTAAAAAGCTATAAAAAAAACTGTGCAAGAAGAAGACATTAATAAAGCTATCCAATCTAAGTTTAGAGCAATACATTCTCAACATTACTGGGTTATTTCATGTGGTCCAGATATTTGCAGCCTTGAAATTTTGGCTAGCCTACATACATGACTGTTTTTATCGAGCTTTATTTAACCACACCCAATATAAGGACATATGCATTTAATGTACATCACACATGGAATGTGAAAAAAAACTGTCCTGTGAATCTGAATACATGACAAGCATTCACAGATTTCTGTGCTGGCTGAAGCTACAAAAGGTCAAACATGAACATACCAGCCTCCATGTCAAGTCAACCCAGCTAACTCCATTACATAGAGTCAAAAGAAAGCTCACAAAAATGGGTTGTTTTCTTCCGGCGGATCATTTAATGTGATTTGACACCAAGAGGAAGAAGGAAGGATTCATGCAGTTTCCTATAGCAGCGGTTTCTTTTGTGAGTACCTCCTGTTCACTGTATTGCCCACAAAGACAAGCTAAATTCTGTCTTAACTCCTAGTTTTGAGAAAATGGTTGTCTGTTGGGTTAATGGACACCTTCAGGTATTTCAAACAACTGACTTATATCCATAATTACCTTCTAATAGCTGTATTTTGGGCATATTAAAAGCAACACACTTAGCTGTAGTGATTGTGAATCTTTTAGCCTAGATTTCTGACATCATTTAGGTTTTGTAGGCTAAGCAACAGAGATTATTTTTTATTGTTGTTAGTTTTAAAAGATACTCAGTGGCTTCATATACTTGAAAGAGTTTTTTCATGGTCTGTGAATTCTTTATCTTGGCTTTTGGTAAAAGATTTGTAAATCTGAATTTAAGTTACAAAATCAGAGGCACAGAAATACTATTATGTATGTCAGGCTTACCGTCCATAGATCCCATGGCAATGTCTGGAAAAAGTAGTGAAAAAAAGAGCTGGTCAGAAAAATACCATTCCTGTACTGTATGTCCAACATGCTACATAACAATGCTTGTTAAATGAGAAGAGAGAACTTATTTATAAGCATGCTTATATTACATACTTATTTTATATATTAGCACATGTCCAAGTGTGTGTGTGTCTGTATGTATCTGCATAATACTTCTGGTTACAAAAGATGGGAAGTATGCAATGCATTGTGGTATTTCCCACTTCAAAGTAGTTGTTGCTTTTCAGCAAACTCACATTGCTGTGTGCATGAGTAATGGCCAGGTTTGGAACTGGGGACTGAGTGACTTTCAATAGGTGTATGAGCCTCTGCAAGGTGTCAGCTTTAAAGACCTTACAAAGTTGGGGTTTTCTAGCCAGTTAAAAATGACACAGCTATCCACTGAGAATAAGTGGGCTTCCTCACAACACTGACACTAGAAAGGGAAATGGCAATACTATTTGTGAAAGGAAATAAGAAAGTTGACCAATATTTTCTTTTTCTTGTCCAGTCTGTTAATTAATGCTAGTGACCTCTCAACAGAAGAGCTAAACAGACAAATGAAAGAAAAGCAGCAGACTTCATGCCAAATATTTATAGCCCACCACATGAGACGGAACCCTCCTGGTTTGTATCAAAAGAGAAGAGAACCAGACACGTTTATAAAGGTCCCTTCTAATGAAGCCATAGAAACAGAAAACCAATTGAAGGAATTGAACAAGACCAGGGCTCACCTACTGTGGTTGGATCACCCTGGCAGAGCAGTGGAGGGAGGTAACTAACTAACTAATTAAATAAACAACAAATAAGCCATGCCAGGCCTTCCAAGGCATCATCCACAGATGGCCACTCCTGTCTTCACACTTCTACCTCAGCTGTTTGCTGAATGGAAAATATCCATGACTGAAGCAAAAACTATACACATATGGAAATACCATTTAAAGCTCTCTTTTTAATCTTCCTGCAAGCACAGGGCTCTGCAGCCAGAGGTTTCATTCTCTCTATACAACATAAGAATGACCCTGTCAACTCCAGTGAGAACAAGACCCAGACTGCAGGCTGTCTTCCCTTCTAAAATCATAGTGTTCTGACTCATCCACAGCTCTTGTAGATGTGGGCCATTCTTTCTCATATGCCTTTGTTCTGCAGAAAGGTGAAAGGAGTGAGTAAAGGTGCCCAGTGAATTCTTCCTATGCCCCTAGATAAAAAGTTACATAGTAACTTTTTAAACACAAACTTTCTACACAAAATTATACTCTGTATTTCATAATATAGTTGAATATAAAATAAGTGTTTTTCACGAAAGTAATAAACTTTTCTACAATCTGTACAATATGATGTCAGAACAAATACGTTCTGTCATAAAATCTTCTGTTTAATGATCCCACTGCTCTAATCAGCATTATTATAAAACAAGCTGAAAGCGTAATTAGTGAAGTCACACTTAGTCTTATCTGTCACTGAATCTGTCTTTTCTGTCAGCTGAATGCTATGGAATGTAATTTGCCTTCCCCTTCCTTTTCTCTGTTTAGAGAGAGAAAAAACATAACAAGTAAAATGCACAAAGCTTCTGCTAGAATGGAACAATTCTCGTAGCAAATCTCAATGAAAAAATTCAGCTAATGTTCAGAGTGTTGACAGTGCATCCTTTTTCTGACAGCACACATCTTGTCAGAGATCACTCCAGATCTCATTACATAACTAGGGCTTCCCACTAAGAAATTAATTAACTGAGGTAGAGATCATCAGAGAATCAGGACATCTCAGCCTTAAAGCTTTTTGTCTTCTCACTCCTTTCCCAGTCCTGCATTTCTGAACAGCTGATAAGTCTTCTCATGTCTCACAGAACAAGCCAGATTAATGATAAGTCTTGCTAACAGGGCATTAACATTGCTTCTTTTTGTACAAAACAGGGATACAGACACGCTGGCCATGAGATCTTCCGTACTCTGCTACGTGCCCTCTGGGTAGTGAGGATGAATTCTAGATTTTAAAATAGCATGTCCTGTAGGATAAGCCAATGAATATCAGCAACTTAATATATTAGCTTTTTAAAAAATTTTTTTTAGTTTTCACTTTTTTTTTTTCATATTGCTGCAAAAAACCACCATTACAAATATTACTATTGAATGTAGACTTTCAATAACACAACATTCTACAAGAAAACACCCTATTCCATAATCTAATTTTCCCTGAGGTCAGGTCTAAAGTAGATTAATAGCAAAACCACTCAGATCATACCACTGCTTGATACAGAAACTCCATCACAGTAAAGCAACTGCATGCTGACTCCATGAGACTTAGGTCCTCTAAGGCACCTTTCCAGATATGAAGAATCAAAGTCAGGTCAGAAAAGTTGTCAGAAAAACAAGCACTGGAGAATAATAATGTTTACACTAACTAATAATGATGGATGCTAAAGTCAAGGCCAAGGTACCAGAAACCATTCTCAGCAGCAGACATCTCATTTTACCCCCTAACAATTTCCTCTTCTTCCAGTACATCATCAAGTACGTGGTTATTGATGGGGAAGACAGAAGGCTGACTTGTGCTTCTCAGGAAGACAAAGTTTTTCAGATATTTCTTATTAATATATGAGGCAAACATTTTTTACCAAACACACTATATTGCATTCATATGCTTTGACTATGTCAAGGCAAAGAGATACCTGAGACATGGGTGAATGACTAATTCCTGTTGACACAGCTTCTGGTTTGAAGGGGTCGAAGTCCAAATCCAGTAACGATTCCTCTTTCTTAGCTTCAGGTACTTCATTCTTTTAAAAGAGAAATATAATTTCTGAAAAATTTATCTTTTAAATGCTGCCCTGGGCAGTAAAATATCAAAATGATCAAGAAAAGAAACAAAACACCCCACAGATTTACTAGCTGTGGCGCACACCAGAAGAGGAGGAAGCTCTGAAGATTTTCCTGGGCTTTAGTGTAAGTTTTATGAGATTCACTCTTATTCACTCTTATGATGGAACTAGATGATCTTTAGGTTTCTTTCCACCAAAACCATTTTATGATTCTACAATATGCTCATATTAAATCAGATTACATGGTAGAGTGTTTTTGATTTGCAATTAATAAATTAGCCAAGGCCTCTGAGGTCACTATAAAGATATATACACATATACATGTTCAATGGGTCTTTTCTGCTATAAATTAACCTGAAAAAACTATTAGTGTGTTTCAACATAAAATTCTAATTAGTGGGAAACTATAGCTGAGATTTAATTATCATTAATTGTTAATATTCTAGGCAAGCATCTTGGTCTTGCTAACAAGGCTAGTACTGCCAACTGCTAGTTGTTCAGTTAAACAGTAAGAGAGCTTGTACAAATGGGCAAGTCTACTGCAATATGGCATGCATAAACCCAGCAAAACTAGGAGATATCAATAATAATAATGATGATGACAATAAGAGTGAAATAAATGAGCAAAGACTTTCTGTTATTAAAACATTTAAGAGTATAAACATTCCAAATTACTGTTACTATTGGTAAACAGATGTTCAAAGTTAGGTAATTAATGGCTTCCATTATGCTACAAAACACCTTAACTCTCTGTGTCACCTGCAAACATGGTCAAAAGAGCTCCTCAGCTCTCATGTTAGGAATGATAGAGTGACCTAGAACTCTTCAGTCTGTATGATGTGCTAGAGGTGATGTGAGAAGGGGTGATGTCTACCAGTGTGAGAGGCACAGGGGTTTGGCTACTCCCTGATTCTTCAGGGAGGCAGGAAAAAAGCTGGCAGCACAGTTGAGGGAGGCAAATGTAAAATAAAGAAGTGGTGCTGCTCCATGTGGCACAGGGTCCAGCTGGGGACCTCCTTGGCTTCAGGTAGTGTTAATGTGAAAAATGTACACATGCTGAAAGAGTGAATAAATTTGTGGCAAAGTAGTCTGCTGAGGCTTACTAAATTGGTAGGAATCATGTTGAGGAAGCCCCAGAGCAGCAAAAGAATGGAGGCTAAGAGACTCTAGTAGAAGAGGGTGTCAGGAGTACCACCATTGTTTGCCTTGATTTATCTTCTTTCTTTGGCCTTCTGGCATAACTGGTGATGACAGATAACTGGTCTGATACAATGAAGCCAGTGTCTCACACTTTAAAAAGTCAAACCCACCACTCCTACCAGTAACCAACACTATGCTCATTTATTTAGATTTTATCACATATGCTCTTGAGGCACTAATACTCATATAGTCATACAACTTGATGAAACAACAGCATTTACTGGCATATAATCAGAATTGGATGGAGACATAGAAGATGTCTCCTTTCACCAAGGTTTGAGGATGAAGTTGCTACCTTTGAGGACTGAATCAAATTAACAGGAGTATTACTTAAGGCCATAGACCAGATAAAGTATTGGAAGTCACAGGGCACTGATCACTGATACCAAAAGTTACCCATGCCCCTCAGACCAAAATGAAGAGAACCCTCATCTTAACTTTAGAGACAAAGTCCCAAATAAACATACACGGTACCTAAGAGACCACATTGCCAGGAGATGCAGGAGGAACAGGAACCTCAGGATATCCCTCAATAAGGGACAAAGCTATGACAGGAAGGTCTGCCAAATATCCTGTATTTATTCCACCACAGCATTATGAAGCATGATTAAATTAAACATTTGAAAGAGGCAGCTGTGGCAGAAGCAAGGCTGTACCTCTCAGAGGCATGTACAAGGAACGAAGAAGGCACAAGAAACCTTCAAGGACTACCAAAACTGTTACCCTCTCTCTGCACACAGTCTGTACAAGCCTTAAAATAGCCTTAGCAGTTATGGACCATTCACTTTAGAGCTGTTAGGCACACTCAGACACATTATGAATCTGTAGGGGGCACATAAAGGCCTATAATGTCCAAGTTAGTAAATGGACAGTAGGGAGAAAGATGATGTGAAGAATAGGAGAAATAAAGCAAGGAACACACATTTCTGAATGATCCTTCCATCTGGTCACCCAGATATTTAATGTTCTCATCTTCTTCTTTTACTAGGCAGTAATTAAGTCCATTTTTGACAAGGAAAATAACCTGGATGTGTAAGACACTGTTGAATCAGTGCACAAATATTCAACAGCATCAAGCAGAGCTGTCTTTCACCATCTTGGACTAATGAAGTGAATGCATCAGTACTGCTTAGTAAAGAAGGAGGAACAACAACAATTACAGGATATTTGTGTTTCAAGAAACAAAAGTTTGGCCTGTTTGTAATCTTTTCCAAAACATTGCACTAAAGCAGCAAAGCTCTACTTATCAGTCTGTTGGTTTTGTGCCTCTGCAGGAGCAGTGTCAGGGACACCAGTGGTGGTCCCTTGGGAAGTCCTGTACCATTGGCAGGCTCTGCAGGCCTAATAGCTTTCTCCATACTGCTCAAGAAGGGATCTGGTAGTATAGGAGGAGCCCTAAACATCAAGAGGAATAAGTCCATATTTCCTGTGGATTTCATGCTATATATTTTCCTTAACTGGTTCACATACATAAGGATAGAAAATCTATACATCACATTATTTGGGTATGTCCACATATACTCAGAGATCTCAAATATAGTGAAGATGCTTTAGTGCTTTTAGTGATGCAGGTGAGTTTTGTGGAGGCAAAAGTACAGATGATTGATGAGAAGGTGGCCAGGGAATAGCTTAGGATACTCCCTAGTCATTGACTATGGAGGAGGGAAGGACATAAATCACTCACTAAAGGGAGATCTATTTTCCTGGAGAGATGAGGAAAAGATTTCAGTTCTCAGAAGCATGCCCGCTTTTATTATGCCATTCCATTTTTTTGTCAATCTCTCACAGAAAGTTTATAAGGATTCTGGAAATGTGATTTACACTAATTTACACTGTCATCTCCTAATGGAAAAGCAAACTAGTTTCATTTCTGCTTCCCTGGATGGCCTGACATATGCATGTTAGTTAGATACAGTATTTAATGCAAGGGGCCTTATCTAGCACAGGTTACACCAACTCTTACCAGTGATTTCAAGGCTCATGCTCCTATGATAATTAATTCCTATGAAATCAGGGTACAGTGATGCAAAAGACCTGCCATCTCCCTTCAGAAAGAGTACCAGCAGCTGCATTCTGGGAGTAGCCTTTAATTCTTTAATTCCATGGAGACTTAACTATAAATAAGTCCTTTCCAAATAGATCTCTATATAGAGCAATGCCTGTTTCTCCCTACCACAAGAAAATAAAGCATCACATGTTCAAATTGTACAAAATACATTGTTCATTGCTGTGCCTTTGTTCTCTTGTGCTGTCAAATGAGTTAGAAGAAACCAATGATTCAAATGAAAACAGACATTCCTAAACATTCTGCATAAGCTTCAGATCTACATACTTCTCTCCAATCTATCAGATGCAGGATGAGATTTCAGAGTTGCAGTTACCATGAAAGAATGAGTCCACTATTGAAAAAAAAAACGGTAATCACTCTAACTATGTAAAAGCTGAATAGGTGAATACAAAATTTATGGACTTATTTTGCACAATTCCGGCTTTTCTGTTTATTATATGCAACTTAAAAAATATCATAATAATATACGATAAAATGAATTTTGAACCCCTCTCTGCTGTGCAGCTAATGTTTCTATGAGCAAAGCCAAATGAATGCATCATCTAGCTGAAACAGTCTTTTATCTGTAAAAACCAGGAAGTTTCATTTTTTAAAAAATCACTCAACAGAAAGACAGAATACTTTTAATGAAGTATTTATGTAAAGTTCCACTTGAGATGCTTAGCATAAAAAAAGCATCTTAGATCAACTCTCAGCTAGTAATGCAACCTGGATGCATTTAAATCTCAAACATGACTGTATCACAGTATTTTCAGTCAGACCTCTCAGGAAATTGCTCTTTTTTTCAGTAAGTTGGCAGTGTTAGCCCTTTTGAGTGATTATGTGTGACCTATTCAAAGGCAAAACACCATATGTGTAACTCTTATGATAACAGAAAGTGGTAATTGTGCCTCTGCCTTGTACTTTTGCCCTCATCCTCCTTCCCCATGAAGATCAGCCCCCAGGGCACTATCTTGGAGCACTTAGGGTGATTACATGGGTGGACCTCTACACAAATCATTGAAGCTTACCTGTGATGGGGTTGTCACATTGATTTCTGGGACAAAGTTGTCGTCAAATAAGTTAATGATGTTCTCCTGTTGCAACTCCTTTGTGGGTGTGAGTTTAGGCAGTGGTGGGACCGGTGGACCTTTCCTCAGCTAGGCAGACAGCAAAAATGTCACAGACTAGTTCAGGGATAAAAGAAAATCTTTAAGCTAGACCTAAACAAATTTTCTTAGATTTTTACTTCGGCTGTTTCATCCTAAATAAGCCATAGGAATAAGCCATGTATTGAATGGAACTGTTTAGATGTTCACAACCAAGTACTGGAAATAAACATTATGGGAAGAGCAAAACAACCCTATGTTTCAAAGTCATTAAAACTCAAGGTTTCAGATTTGATATAAAAGCAATTCTTGGTTATTTTTTCTTCTGCTGCCACAGGCACACAGCACAAGACAGCTCTTCTATGCAGGCCATAGCTGGAAGGGTGATACTGCACAGAAACAATGCCTCTGCAGCTATTTGGCTTCTTGAGTTCATTTGTGTTTAGCTCTGGGATTTTGTCACTGCCCACCTGTTGCTAGCCTTAGAGTGTACTTAATGCTAAGACCATATCATCTCTGGGACCTATAGCACTTCAAAGGTGCCTAGTTCACTACATTCCTCCTGCTCTCCAGAGATTCATGTAACTATGACAATCTAATTGCTTGGAATAATACCAAATAATATTGGATAATTTTTAAATCTATCAAAAACCCAAGAAAATAAATCCTCAAAAAAAAAAAAAAAAAATCCTCAGGTGATATAGTGATACAACACCATTGACACCAGTGAGGCTGAGTCCTACCAGGTGAATACTCAGGCAGTGAGTTGTCACATTTTGGGAAACCAGAGAAAATAAACATGCTCACTAGACACAAAATTAATTTTCTTCTGATGTGCAGACAGCATAGAAACAGCAATCAGCACAGAAGCTATCCCAATTCCAAATCAACACATCATATACAACTCATGCTACAGATGGAACTGATGAATGAAACCAATTCTTATTTTACCAATACTAGTGAGAACAGAAGTTACTCCATTGATTACAACAGTGTCAAACTTCCCAATCAGTGTTTAAAACAACCAATAAGACTTCAATTATCAGTAATTAGCAGAGCAGTATTTCAGCTAGCTTTATTTTTCATTGTTTTACAGATTGGCCAGATGAGTGATACTCACTGGCTAATTTTTCCCAAGGTAAACCCAAATTTGAAGATGAATGAAGAGCAGAAATATATAATGTACAAAAATTCACAAGGAGGTTTTAGAAATAGGGAAATAGGCTTTTCAAACTGTCATTTCTGGTATATGGGACGTTAGAGACAACACAACTTTTTAAGAAGCGTTTTGCTTTGTCATTGCAAATCCTACCAATTCACCAAGCACCTAACATTTTCTTCATTCCCCTAATAAAAAAAAAAAAAAAAATTTATATTCATGTTGTGACACAGGGATGAACAACTGATTAACAGAACAGATTGCAACAGAACCAGTAGCATCCCTGCCACTACTCAGTCTAGACCACAGCCTAGATGAAAAATCCACCACGTACATCATCTCAGCTATCTTTCACTGCACAACAGGTCAGGTCCCTCTGCCAGGTATCTCCTTACCTGTGTAGGCGACTTCGGTCGGGCTGGTGCTGGAGATGCTGGTGCCAGCATATGATTGGGACTAGCAGTAGGGCTAGGTAGGGGAGAGACCTCCTCTGGTGGTGACGGTGTTTTTGCAAAGCGGAGTGGACCTGAATCACTAGACAGAAGCAAAGGGATGACAAGAACATATATATCTTGCTGACTTATTACCTTGAAAATCGGATGCAACAGTTGAACTGCATCCCTGATGTAATGTCAGTGACCACAAAAGAGAGTGCACACTGGAGATGAATGAAGCCATTATATAGTGACTAAAATTGCAATTAAAGACAATTAAAATTCAATGTCAAAGGAAGTTTTAGTTTTGAATGATCTTGATTTTTGGAACATTTGTTTACCTGATCATTATAATTTGAAGAAAACAAGAGTACCCGCATTTTTTCAGATTCTGTACTTGAAATACCACTTCACTTATAAATTTATAACCATTATAAAATGTGAAATGGATTTACTGTCTTCATTTCACATGCTTCTCGGAACAGAACACTTTGAAGATAAAAAAACCCACAGGAAGGCATAACAATGAATACTGCAAATAATTTTAAAAGCTCAGCAACTTTTTGTTTTTATTGAAAGGTTTCAATAAAATAAAACACAGCCAAGATTATTATAAAGATATCACTATTCAGAAGTACAAATTGCAAAAATTATAAACAAGCAGCAGTCTAGTGACTTCAACAGAGCTCTGGTGATACTAAGAAAAGATCTGATGAAGTCGTAGAAAGCATCTGCACTTCCCAAGAAAGGTGCAAACACTGAGAAAATATTCAGCTACCTGGATATGCTGAAAGCTTACAGTGAGGGAGGCTATGAACTACAGTACTCAACAACCACAGTACTCAGTAGAAGCGACTCTTACACGTCCTCAGGGAGAGCAGAAGCACTACCTGATTGAGACCACAGCATAAGCATGATCCTAATGCTAACACAAGAAAAACTGTTCTTTGGAAGGACAAACTTAGCTCACACTCACCACCTCTTTCTGTGGAAATATTAAAAGAGAAAAAATAAGCAGTCATTAAGAAATTTATGTTCCAGGGTACAATATTTGCCTTCAGGACAGAGTACTGAGTAGCACACAAGTTCTTAAGATGTTTCTTTTTATTCAGTTCTTTAAAAGAAAGATTAGATATTGTACTTGTCTAGTATCAACTTCTCATGCACCTAAATTGGAAAACTGTTTTATCTCATGAAGACCCACTTAGGAGTCTTTTAGAGTATGGTAACTAATAAGGAAAGTCAACATCGATCCAGATTTTCACACAAGGCTCTGCAAACATGACAAGCAAAAGACAGTAACAAAGTAACTGAAAAAATGGATTTTTAGAAAGCTTTTTTAAAGTAAGTTCACACTACATTAAATGACATCTAGTAATTTGCAGCAAAAATAATTTTGTTGCATAATTCTTTTTCTCCCAATGATGGAATGAATAATTCAGTGAGAACAAGCATGTGCATATTGGACATGCTCTCAAAAACACAGGTGGATAAAATACCTGCTGTTTACAAAATGCGCTTGAAATCTTCCAACAGTACATTATTTCACATCACATAGAAGTGTTTTACAAAGCCTTTACGGGGAGCATGGTCCAGATTTTGAGTCCATCCTAAATGGGCCAAAGTTAACAGCTCCAAAGGCAACATGTAATATACAAGCATGGATTATCACTGAAATAATCTAAAAAAACAAATTCTAGCGATGTTCTTATAAAGTAGTTCTGAATTTTGCATTACATCAGAAGTTTCAGATTTCATTCTTTGTTCTTCCAAAGTGAGATTAAAACAAAGGGAGGATTATCTTCCATATTTTTGAGGCAGATGTTATGTTGTTTGGTTAGTCTTAATTGCTGCTAATCTACCTCCATCTTGGGGGCAAATTAGAAGTAGCTATGTGAGGAACCAATTTAATTTTTATTTATGCCTCAACTTTATCTGGCTTTTGTGTTATAAACCGATTTTCTGACATTGGGTGGAAAATTTCTACATAGGCTGAGCACCAAGATGTGCAGAAGGTGGCTAGCACACATGAAGGGGTAGAGACCGCTGACATTACAGTCCCTAAACAGGCAACCCCTTTAAAGAATGGAGACTTCGGCTGACAATCAGAGCAGGCAAGTCTTCCACCACTGGGCTGCAACAGACTCCCTCCGCAGACGGGGAAACCCCTGCTACCCAGCGCAAGCTCCCCTGACTAGCCAATGGTTGTCCCACAAGGAGCGGACCATGGGAGGAGCCTGAGCACATAAAAGCATTTCACGGCGGTACAGCTACCCCGCTGTCTCAGTTTCTGAGCCGAGGGGCTCGTCTAGAGGTTTGCCTCCGTCGGCCCCTGCTCCTTGCTTCTTCCTTGACTCTCTGCCCTGTCCTCATCTGTTCCATCTACTCTTCTAAGCTTCGCCGCTTCCCCGCAGCAGGCGGCCCGCCGCCCCTCCACGCGGGAGCGTCCTGGCTGTCGCTATCGGAGCCGCGCTCTCGCGAAAGCTGTGCAGCCTCGCCCCGGCAGGGAGCGCAGGCTCCACCTGCCGGGGGATGCCGCCGGTGCAGCCCGGGCTTGCGGTGGTGACGTTCTGACCATGGCCTCCTTTGTCTCTCTCCGTCTTTCTTTTCCCTTCTCTGCTTAACTTTCTGTCCCTCTCCAGTAGGGACACATATCCTTTTTTAGCAATAAATAGTTCTCAGATATAATATTTGCCACGTTTGTGCTTGATTTTGTCCAAGAAATCCATTAAAAAGAATTCCCTGCGGTTTCCTTTAGAGTGGGATGTGAAAAGCTATATAACCTTGTTCAGATTGCTTCTGACTAGCTGGGACTAAATGGAAATTCAGGCTTTATATATTAACTCTAAATATCATTGTGTCTTTATAAGTCTCACTGTTTTACACTTCACCCTTTTCTGCCCATCAGTATTAGAAATAAAATATGGCACAAAGGCTACATTTGTTGAAAGTACAGAAAGTACATTTCTGTTGCCAGTACAGAAATCCTGTACTGGCACCCGCTGACCTTTAGAAAGCACCATCTGATTTTAAACTCCTTTTGATTTTGTGCTTTAAAACAAGATTTTGCTTGACATTCTCTTTATTTCAGCTTTTTTTTGCTTTTATGATGTACCCTCAGTTCTTTACTTTTCCCCGTAAGTAGAAGAGATAAAAGCTAACATTCAACATTTGGGATTCTCACCTAATAATAGGAGCTAAAACCGTATCTCAATATTTCAAGGCTTTAAACAAGTTATGCGAGTTAGCAACATAGCTGTAACCTAAGTATGTGAGAATAAATGAGCTACACTTAGTTGGTGCAAATTGATGTAACAGTGTACAATGAACATTGCTAAATTGAAACAGCCTTCTTTTTTTTTTTTGGTTTGTTTTTTTTCTGGTTTTTTTTGGTTTTTTTTGTTTTTTTTTTTGAAAAAACTTTCTAGAAAAATAGTCAGTGAAGAAGGAAGCTTTGCATATTTACTCCTGTTGAGAAGAACTTCATCCCAGATACCTTCATTTACCATCCTGAACAAATAATGCCTGTTAGCATGTATAGGTGTTACACACGGTGTAGGTGATTACTACATATGCTGAAACCCACAAAGCCTACAGCAATGCAATTCATTAAAAAGGCAATAAATTCACCTTGGTGCCCCTTGAATGGTGAAGGCCTTGTCTGCATGCTGATCCCCCAGCTTTGTCATCACTTCATATAGTTTGTGACATAACTGTGAAAACAAAACAGTTGCCTGAGTTATGTGAACAACTATAGTCATGATTAAAAAGGCATTATTAAAATGATAAATATGGTTTGATAAATGATAACTTGATAACTTTATGTTACAGTATAAAACCTTCCAAAAATTCTCAGTGCCATGCATAGCAAAAGCCTAAACAGAAACTCATCAAAATCCATAGAATCAAAACTAATAGCAGTTCTTAAAAAACATGAGTTGTTTTTTAGAGAACATGTTCATAAGTAAGACTGACTGCTGTGTGAGCTCTGATGGAGGTCATCTGAAGTTTAAAGCAACATGGGCAGCCAATAAGATCCTGAAAAATCTAATCCAAATTTTCACAGAGCTTCAGTAAACTGAGTTTTAAAAAAAATTTTGGTTCCAATTTGAAAGTTGCTATAAATTATACGCTACTATTTAGCCAGGTACATTTAAAAGATCCTCAGTGAAACTGCTTGATTTGCCTAACAGTCACAGATAAAATATTGCATTGCTGACAGTGCATATAGCTGACTTGAAGGGAATGTTTGACATGTTTTTTTTTTCTACTGATTAAAGCAAAGAGGTGCTTAGCAATTGGACACAGCAGAAATACTGATCAAAACAGAAAGTGAATTTAGTGCTATAACTGGTAATGCACTGCAATCCAAAACTGTAGGGGCTGCTTCTTCCTTAAGGAGAGAACAAATATAACAAGTAGAAATGAATATTATGATTGTAGCAAAAATCTGGATCTATGGCAAATTCTCATGTGTGCCTCTGCTAGATTTTTACTATAAGGTATGTTTTAGCTGTCATGCATAGCATAATCCATCATACATGAGATAGTCAGTTTTACTCACTAATGCTATTTCCTTGTGAAACTTGGCTTCAAGGCTGGATACATTTTTGAAGGTGTTCACATAGAAGCCAATTCGTCTACAAAGGATGGCACAAAGAAAGGAAAAAGAGAATAAAAGGTATGTGTGGGAGGGGCACAAAGGCAGATTAATTAACTGTTTTCTGGACTACAAACAACATTCTTGACTATTACTCTCAGCAAAGCAAATGATGAAATGTCAAAATTTCAGACTAATTTTTTCATGATTATTTCCGTTAGTGTTAAGATATGTATTTCACACCATCCAGTCAACCAAGCTGAGACTACTTCACATCAGATGTCTTCAGCTTTTTTTAAAGAAGAGTGGAAAAGGATGGTCTCAACTACAGCACAAGCACAGGGAAGGCAAGATGCTCTGGGCTTCCATCTCCTGCCAGACAGCACACAACCATTTCTTGAAAGGAGAAAGGTACCATTCCAGCACTGTGAACCCCTGTGCCCAAATCTTATCACAGCATCAAGGTGATGCAGTTGCATCTTGGGTCACCTTGAGTGTATACAGCTCAGTACAGCCCAGGCATCCCAAACTCAGCTCTGAAACACATGCACATGTATATAAAAGAAAAGAATTTAATACAGACTAGACATTTCTGTGCATGTAGTCAAGAATCTGCTTACTTGGGGTGAATTATTACATACTTCTCCATTTCAAAAGTAGAAGCTGTTTTCTTAGATTTTGTTTTATTATTTTTCCTATTTAAAACTTCCATGTATAATTTCTCCCAACTTTGATTAACAACAATTGACTTTGGAATAAGAATAAGCCTGCAAAATGTCAACTCAATAGAATATTTTCTTCCTGAAAAATTTTAATAAATAAAATAAAGGACACTGAAAGCAATTGCTTACTAAATTATGCGTATTGCTCAAATTAAATTCTACCTTTCCCCGAGACTAGCTACTGTGTCTTTATACAAAATTTACTGAAGTAAAAGGGCCCTCACTCTAAGTCATTTATATGCAGTTTTACTTTTGGTAGGCCCATAAAACAAATATCCGTAAGTGCTAAGAAGGTTTACACTGAAATAGGCAGAAACACAGCAGGGAAATCCTCTGTTGGTCTGAAATTTAACAGGATTTAATTTGGAAGGCAGAGAAGAAAAAGGATACTTCACATTTTCACTCCAGTGAAATGTGTCAATTGTTAAAGAACATAACACATAACACACTAATGAGATGCTTATTTTTCTACTGCTTTTGTTCTCCCATTCATATTGTCTGCATTTTCTGTATAAACACAATTCATGATTAAATATCTTGACTGAATGACCTATGCCATCAAGTCATTTAACATCACAACCATTTAACACCAGTGCAAAACTATAATATGTGTCTTCTGGTGTAGTTATAATAAAAAATGATCTATAAGTAGACCCAAATCACCACAGACTACTCTGTGCCCTAACATAATTATTTACTCAGTAAATGGAAACCTTTTAGCACTTCAGAATGAAGATATGCTAGTGAATCTTAAGTGCCAACATACATTGAAAAAAATAAGCATAAATACACTTACATTACATATATTCTTGGAGCACTTGTATACATTTTTCCTTTTATTATTTCAGAAAGGCAATGGGTGGAATCTTCAAGAACCCAGCAATTCATTTTCCGTCAGCTCATTAAAATCACCCGATTCCCTTTTCTTACTCCCCATTTAAGGCCTTGCATACAGTATCTCTCTAGGCTTACCGTGACCACAGAGATGGCAACTCTTCTTGCAAGTCAGTGTTAAACTCTTCAAACACTTTCTGTGCTTTTTGAAATTCTTCTTCTGCCTAAACCAAAATGAAACAGACGACTTCTAAAATCACTATGACATAACAGAACCAAAATGATTTTTGTGGTTTTTTTTTCTTGGTGGGTCTTTTACAATTTTTATTAACAAAGGATGTAACTCAGTCTTACACCATGGAGGCCAGTACAGGATTTGCTGTCCCCTCAGTCTCATCAAGAGAGCAAGTTAGGTCCCAAACAGGACTCCTTAGTGAAAGAGGCTGAGCCTGACTATCACATGAACCAAAGTACTCAATACACATTTTTGCTTAGAGATATCATTATTTCTAAGGGAGTAAAATGAAGAGAAATTTTGTGCTCTCTCTCTGTACAGAAAAAAATACCACCCAGTCTCCCCAGGTCTTCTTCCAGCATGTTTCTGTTTGTGTTACCTTGGTGATTCTACCCTCATCTTTTCTTTTTGAGCTCTGCAGGGCTTCTAGATGATGCCTTGCACTGTCGTAGTCCACTAGCTTTCTGCTTCGTTTTGCAATGCGAGTCTGTACAGGGGTAGAAATGAAATATGAGGAGCAAAAAAGCCATTTTACTTATCTTGTTAATTTAGTTTTTGACATATTTTTATTCTCTCTTCTCTGTTGTTCATATCTGAATTATTATATCATATAGGAGGAACATGGAAATGGTCAAAATGACAAACTAATCACCTTATTTTAAAAAAGGAATCAATTTACAAATAGTTTGAAAAGGGTTTTCGTGGGTATAGGGCTTACAGGCCTTAGAATTGAGGTATCAGTGTTACATAAGACTTGTCACATTCTCTAAAATCAGTGAACCTGTTAAACTCTATCCATGGTAACACTATCTTTTTCCCTTACATATAGTGTGAAAATTCAGCAATTAATGCATTTTTTTCTAGAGTTGGAAAAATGCTAATATATACTTCTCTGTATAGGTGTTCTGACACCTATCTAAAATACTGGAGTTCAAGATATAGATACAGATATAGATATTAGATATAGATATATTTTGATATAGACTTTACAAAGCTATGTAATCCACATGCTGAGAGGGCATAATCACAGCTTGATTTAAAAATGAGTTTAGGACTGTGTATCACTAATGTTGGTATTCTTTGATTATTTTTTCTTTAGTCCTTGATGTAAATTACAAAGGGGATTACTGTGTGTTACCTGCTCAGTTATAAACCCTCACAGAAAAAATCCAGTTATGCCCATACAGTCATATTCAAATATAAATGTATCTCCTCTCACCTATAGTGCTTCTTTATCCTCACACATTTCATTTATCAGTCATTTCTCTGGACTGTATACTAGATGGGCATGTGGCAGAGGCTAGAATCTGTATAATGTTCTCTTGTGATGTGTATTACAGAATCTTTTTATAACTAATTAAAAGACAGGAACCATGGCTTAGATAAAAGAAAGATACTCATGGGTGCATCCATCTAGCCAATAACAGAAAGCCTGCTTTCCATGTAATTTGTCTGGCATTTTAACAGATGAATAGCTTAATGTGTCCTTACTGAAATCGGTTAGAATTATCTCATGCCAAAGAAACAGCAGTGGAAAAAAGCATAAAAATTGCCTCTACAAAGGCTAATTTACTTCCATGTACTACTGCATGAAAAATATTTTTGTTCACTTGGAAAATCAGTCCTGTCTAATGTCAGGAATTTACTTACAATATCTTGTACATTACAGGAGAGCATGACTTCCATCTCCCACCCTTTTAAATTTTTTTTCTTTGTAATCTCATTTTCAATTTATTTTGCAACTCAACAGAACTTTAAAACTTGTCCTTTGTAGAAAATCATTACTTTACTTTGATATCAGGAAATTGTCCTAGATATGTATCCAGCGTTAACAATGACCCATCCACCAGTTTTTGATGGAAGTCTTCCCAAAGTTCATCACATTTCTGAAAAGGTAGAAAGGAGAAAAATGTACTTAGTAGTTTAATGCCACTCTAAACTTAGGAGAAATACAAATGTAATTGGCAAAGATTCATCTTTCTGAAGTTTTAAAATGTTCTTTATGGAAATAAATCATAGCATAAACGTAAGGTGAATGAAAAGGAATACCTTGATATTGCAAATTTAATTCACAACAAATTAAGATTAAACTTAATAATTAGTTTGTGCTTTCATTTATTTCAAATACTAAGTGCTATGTGAAAATAAGAATGTCATGGATTCAAGGTGCTCCTTGGGGTTTCAGGTCCCTGAGGGTCATTAATACAGAATCTGTACATGGCATAGCTCTTGTGTCTAACTATATTCCCTGATGGTGAGCCTTGCTTACAGAGAAAGGAAGTACGACAAAAAATAGAAGAGAAAATAAAGGGAAGGATCTTTCCATCTCATTCTTTTTGTGCCATTAAGGTACATTTAATAGAATGGCTGATGCAGACAAGAACTCTACTTTGTGCTGCTGGAGAACTGGAATGACAGATAGGAAACATCTCAACATCAAACATCTCAACATCAGCTGGCAAAATAAACAAAATCTGCAACCCTGCCACCCTCCTCTGCCCTGAACACACTTTCCCCCAGTGCTTTTCCCCAGTCCCCTTTGGAGCTCTGGGCTCCAGGAGAAACCCCCTGTAGCTTTCTGATTTTCATGAACATATTAACACATAGCTCATGTGACAAGGACTCAATGGGTAAGATTCCTTATTAGAAGCAAATCCTGTTGCATAGACATAGTGCTTGAGGTCCTGGATTCTCCACTGAACAAATCATTAACACATCCTGATTCCCCCTTTCTTTGCACATTTCAAAAATCACTTAACATCCTTCCCTTTGATGGGAGGGAGGTTAATGGTTGTAAGCACTGCTCTGCAGGGCTGTTATCCTCACAGACAAGTCAGGAAAACTGTCACATTATGTCACAGTACAAGCTGGCTTGTACTGGGAAATTAATTTGGCTATAAATAAGAAACTCAGCCAGTTCCATAAACCAGCCCTGGGTTGACAAATAGGAACCTCAACCGATTACATTCCATCCTAAGCTGCAGACATCTCACTAGTCCGGGAGCTGGGCAGTATCAAAGATCAGACCAATGAGCCATCCAGACTGGGTTTTTCAAACCCCCTTTATAAAGAGGGGTTTATATAATAAACTCTCTCTATTGCCACTTGGACAGTTGAGTGTGTGACCCATGAAACACATGGCCGTCCTGCACAATAGAAAACTATTCCAAAGTGTTTGTTTTATCATAACCTACTATTCGGCGGATTATAAATGCTGTGTAAGGCCACCTTTAAGTTCATTCCTTTCCTACTGTAACAGAGTCCCTAATGAATGGTTAGAATCTATTAAACATGTTTAAAAGAAATACCTAATTTATTAACACAGCATTTAATCACAGTGGTCTACAGAGCATCACAGCATTAGACCATAGCATGCCAGTCTTGTTTGTTTGCCTTTGTATCTTGCTGATACATATTTTGAACAAATTAAAATAAAGGAGATTCTGAAAGCTAATGAACTCAAACAACATTGCTGAAGAATTCTTTAAGCCATCATCTTTCCTACCATACAGAATAAGATCTTTTAAGTGGATCCCTTTTGGAATGACAATTTATAACCTGGATACGTAATTATTTTTTACTGAGCTCACAGAATTACAGAATCACAGAATCAAATGGGTTGGAAAAGATCTTTGAGATCATCAAGTCTAACTTATGACCTAACACCACCTTATCAACAACCTTATAACATGGCTCTAAGGGCCACATCCAGCCTTTTCTTAAACACCTCCAGAGATGGTAACACCACCACTTCCCTGGGCAGGTGATTCCAATGCCAAATCACTCCTTCTGTGCAAAAAATGGGTTGGAAAAGATCTTTGAGATCATCAAGTCTAACTTATGACCTAACACCACCTTATCAACAACCTTATAACATGGCTCTAAGTGCCACATCCAGTCTTTTCTTAAACACCTCCAGAGATGGTAACACCACCACTTCCCTGGGCAGGTGATTCCAATGCCAAATCACTCCTTCTGTGCAAAAATTCTTCTTAATGTCCAGCCTAAACTTCCCCTGACATAGTTTAAGGCTGTGTCCTCTTGTCCTGTTGCTGGTTTCCTGGGAGAAAAGACTGACCCCCACTTGGCTACAACCTCCTTTCAGGCAGTTGTAGAGAGTGAAAAGATCTTCCCTGAGCCTCCTTTTCTCCAGGCTAAACAACCCAAGCTCCCTCAGCTGGCCCTCATAGGACTTTTGTTCCAGACCCTTCACCACCCTTGTCGCCCTTTTCTGGACATGCTCCAGCATCTCAACATCCTTCTAAATTGAGGGGCCCAGACGTGGACACAGTACTCAAGTTGTGGCCTCACCAGTGCTGAGCATGGGGAAAGAATCATTCCCTGCTCCTGCTGGCCACACTATTGCTGATACAGGCCAGGATTCCATTGGCTTTCTTGGCCATGGTGGGCACACTGCTGGCTCATGTTCAGGCTGCTGCCAATCAGTACCCCCAGGTCCCTTCTGCCTGGCCTTTGTCCAGCTTCTCTGTCCTCAGCCTGTAGTGCTGCACGGGGTTGTTGTGGCCAAAGTGCAGGACCTGACACTTGGTCTTGTTAAACCTCATATCGCTGGATTCAGCCCATCGATCCAGCCCATCCAGGTTGCTCCTGCAGAGCTCTCCTGCCCTCCAGCAGACTGACACTGGCACCCAACCTGGTGTCATCTGCAAAACTGCTAATAGTAGACTCGATCCCCTCATCCAGATCATCAATAAAGATATTAAACAGGACTGGGCCCATACACAGATCTCTGGGGGCCACCACTAGTGACTGGCCATCAACTGGATATAGCACTATTCACCACCACTCTCTGGGCCTGGCCATCCAGGCAGTTCTTAACCCTGCAAAGAGTGCACCTGTCCAAGCCATGGGCTATCAGCTTTTCCAGGATTATTCCATGGAGACAGTGTTGAAGGCTTTGCTCAGTCCAGGTAGACAACATCGACACCCTTCCCCACATCCACCAGGTGGGTTGCCTGGTCATAAAAGGAGATCATATTGGTTAGGCAGGACCTGCCTCTCCTAAATTCATCTGGCTGAGTCTGATCCCCAGGCGATCCCTGTAGGTCCTGTGTAATCGCACTCAAGATGACCTGTTCCATAACTGTGCCAGGCATCGATGTCAGGTTGAGAGATCTGTAGTTTCCTGGATCCTTCTTTCAGGAGGGGTATTACATTGGCTGGCTTCCAGTCATCTGGGACCTCCCGAATAACCAAAACTGATGATAAATGATGACAAGCAGCTTAGTGAGCTCTTCTGCTAGCTCCCTCATCACTCAGGATGGATCCCATCTGGTCCCACAGGCTTGCGAACATCAAAGTGGCTCAGCAGGTCACTAACTGCTTCCAATTACAGGGGATCTCTTCTGCTCCCTGTCCCAGTCTGTTAGCTTTAGAGGCCATCTGCCCTGAGGATGACCTGTCTTATTGTTGACAATTGAGGCAAAGAAGGTGTTAAGTACCTCAACCTTTTCCTCATCTTTGGTAACTATATTCCCCACCATGTTGATGAAGAATGGAAGTTTTTCTTGGTCCTTCTTTTGATATTAATATATTTATAAAACCACTCTTTATTATCCTTGACAGAAGTGGCCAGGTTAAGTTCTAACTGAGTTTTTGCCACTCTAATTGATGCATAAATCTACCTTTGTGATTATGTACCAAAACAATTCAGGAGATTTTGTAATATTGCATATAAAACAATATAAAAAACCTAAATCAATCAAACAAAAAAATATGTATCTTAAATCAGGCACTTTGGAAGTTGTGTGCTTTTAAAATCAAAACCCTTTGCAGCAGGGAAGTGTAGGAGAAGGCATCCATAGAGAAGAAAAGCAATCTGTACACTGCTCTGTATTCAGGTTTACTGTTAACTATATTATGAAGGAGACCTTGCAAACTGAATGCCAGGTGATTAAAAGCTTCATTGACAACCATTTGCACTTTCTTGTCACCACCGTCACATTTGCTGACAGATTTCCCCCAGAACTGAGGGTCTTTATGCAGGCAATTCAGAGCACCTCAAATTCCTGCTATGTTGTCTAGAAAAGCCTATTCTTCTCTAATCACTGGAGTAAGGTAAAAAGTAAAAATAAAGTGTCCTGCACTCTAATTTGCCTTTAAATTCCATGTTCTTCTCAGAGAAAGGTGAGTGTTTCATAAGATGTCCTGTGCAGTACCGCTGGCTCGACAATTGTTACACAGCACAAAAGGATAAGCAGCTTTGATAATTTTTAACATTCCATTGAGCTGAGAATCCTGACTATAAAATTGCATGTAAGATACCTTTGTACAAACTTGTCAGGCAGATGCTGTCAGGACCAATTCTGCTCACACTGAGTTATCTCAGTGGTAGCTTTTATCAGCTAGTTCATACAACAGACACTGCAGTGCTGCATCTGGCCAGTAGGAGCTGCATTTCACAAGATCCATAATTTATATGCTGAGAAAACAGGATTTAACATGACATGAAGGATTAAGGTCAGTTTTGGATGCACCCTCAACAGCTCAGATTAATCCATTTGCATCCAAAATACTTTTTCCCTCTTTCCATATATCTTACCTCTCCAATCATTTTCACATCTTCACGTCCATACCAGTCTGGCTCGTACACTTCATGGAGAGACTCTGTAAGCTTTTTTGAGGCATCTTGCATTCCTGCAGTTAGACAAAAAGAGAAATATGTAAATGCAAGAAGATGCAAGATATTTAGCAACTACAAGAAGTAGTTGCTAAATATCTTTATTTTCAGCCACGTGTACCCACTATGCTATTTCCTCTGGCAAATTTAGAAAAGAAATATCTGAACTTGGGTAGAGCACTGTAGTGGACGTGGTTTTATGAAGAGTTTTGTAATGTCACCCAGTACCTTTAGAAGTTTGTGGAGCCCAGTGCCTATTCATGTTTGCAACAGGGTGGTGCTTGCAGAGGATTGTGTGAAGCCAAACTGACAGTCACTATTGAAGCTTTTGCTTTGGCTCTTGATTTGACAGGTGAAACAAGAACAGTGACTATTGATGTTTATCACTCTGGTTTAAATGTAAAATAGCTTCAATGACATTATGAGAATCTATCTTCAGTGAGATCAGTTTGACCCCAATGATTAAATAAACACCCACAGTGAAGGCACTGGGGTTTGCATTTTGATACAGCATGAATCCATTAGATTCAGAATATGGTTCTGAATCCAGAGAAAGCAAACTCATCTCACCTAACATTCTAAGAGTTCAGAATAAGTAATTTTAAAATGACAACTTTTATTTCAACTTCATTGGAAAATCTCAATACTTGAATTTATTTCTTAGCATTAACTTTTTTCTTAAAAAAGCACCTTTTTTCTAGTCAAAATCTGTTTGCTCTCTTGAAAATATCTCTAAGCATGATGTTCAGATTTAACTGCTCAGTGACTGAATTTAGGAATAGCATCAATATTTTTGTTTTCTGCACAAAGAAACATTCACAAGTGGAAAAGGAAAACTAATTTGAAACTTGAATGTGTAGAAGATCTTGATCTAGTCAGTTGGTATTCCATCATGCACTCACAAAACACATGCTGTTAATATGAGAGTAAAATAAATACAGGGATGCACACTTATAAGAAAGTAGTAGTCTATGGAATTGATAGGATAGAAAACAGATACTGAAAAAGCTGAAAGTACATGCTTGTTCTCAGTCCTTGAGTACAAAATGAGAATGGCATGGGGGAGAACAAGTACAAAGGAAATACTGGTGCTTAGAGGGTACAAGCTTTCACCCTTAAATCAAAAGGTAATGAGCCAAAACAGAATAGCTGATCTCTTCAGGAATTGTCTTGGGGGTGGTTTTTAATGACAGAGCTCATTGTAGACTATTAGGAGAGCACAAGAATTAAAATGTATTTCTTCCTTTTCTCCTTCATGGTTAATTCTTAGGATGATGTATCTCCAGCTAAGAAAGTGTTCTCCTGAATAAAAAGGATTTTTTTTAATTTTTGCCTTAGAAGTTACCAGGTTACAATGAAATACAGATGATCTTCACATATATTTTCAGGCAGGACTCATTTAAAATCTTTAATGTCGCTGCAAATTAATCAACTCAAGAGATAAGGCAAAACCACTAGAGTATCTCTTTGCTTCTCTCCAGTCAGGGTGAATGTACAAACCAGGAAGGTTTGTTCATCCCTGCTTACACCTGATCTTTTCTGATACCTGAACTTCTGCCCTTAAGCACTCTTGAGTGGTAAAACTGCGGCAGAGGTTCCTGCGGCAAGCAGGCTAGCATAGCTGCTAGATAATCCCTCCTGCAACTTGCATTCAGCTCAGTCACAGACCATGTTGACACCTTTTCCTAGACTTTCTTTCTTAAGTACTACAGGACTCAGGCATATATCTGCTTAAGAGAAAAAGTAAAACACACCTAATGTGCCATGCTTGAGTTATATCAAAACTGCACCAACTTTTACACTTTTTTTCTGTTCTGAGAATTGGATAAGCCTTCATTCCACCACATTCCTGTAAAAAACATCAGTCAAATCCAGCTGTAGTGTCAGGCAAGTGGGCAATTAAGTATTTGGTTTTTTCAGTCAGGGGCTTCAATTTGAAATTTCCAGGCTAATATCATCCATCCTTCTGACTGCATCTATACCAGGTTTACTGCAATACACCAAAGGGGTGAAAAGGTAAATACCAATCCAGTGAATTCCCATTATTTTTCATACCTCTGGACATAAACTTACAGTGTCCAATGATTTTTTGTTTGACAGGTTTTCACACAGAGTTATTCCTTACACATGGATATCTTTTATGTGTTATTCAGCACAAAATTTAAGGGGATTAGTGTCTTACTCATAGACTGCAGGCTCTCTCTCTTGGCTGCTTTTAACTGCTATCACTATAGAAAGATAATTGGTTAAAAGCAAGTCATTAAAGTACTAAGTAATATGAAAAGTACTAAGAAATGTGAAAATAATTTTTACTGCTGCTGAACAGTTAGAAATTTGTATTTAGTATCAATTGTTCCATTCAGTAGTACTTGTTGGTAATTGGGTCCTGTCTTTAATAGCTAAAAGTGCTAAAATATTTGAATCACTTAGGAAAAATGTTGCTAAATAATCCAGTTACTGAAGATTGAGCTTCTCAGATTAAATGATCCCTATTTCTGTTGGAAGGAGTCCCTGTCCCTGGAGCCTCCAAAAAATTCTAGAGGCCTCCTTGTGATAGGGATTCTGGGGATGACAGTGCAGAGATATTCCCATTAAGCACACCAGAGAAAGGGGAGGGTAGGCGACTCTTTACCAATACAGTTCCAATGTACTCAAGCTCCCATGGAGAATGAGAAAGAACAGTATGTTGGCTATGAAACTCATATACTTGGGGTCTCCTCACTCCCCTGCAGGGTAATCTAGCCTGAATGATGGAGAATTTTCCATTTTCCTGATGGGGTGAGATATCTTGGTCTGGCTCTTAATATTACTTATGTGGTTCTTCAGGGAAATGACCTGCCCTGCCATAAGGGTTGTATTTGTTATTGCTAGTAATCCATTAGAGTTTCCACTGGAACAAGTCAATAATTTCATTATTCATTAATAAATTTTGCAGAAAGATGATTAATAGTTTTATGGTTTTTAAGAAATTACATGACTGATTTTAAGATTTCTATGTCTGAAGGATATGTGCAGTTCTGTCAGCCACAGACTGACAACTAGGCAACAGAACTGCTTACAGACCTGAAAAATCTCCCCTCCCCTTCCTGTACACCAGTTACTCTTTATCACTACATTAAGCCACATGAAGTGTATTTCAGGCAAATTTCAGGTGCTTTCTTTCCCTCATGCAGGACTACTTTTTACGTCTGTCACCTTTCCACTTGCATGAAGATCCAGGTTTCTTCTTCCCCATCTGCACTGGTACTTGCAAAGAGCTTGGGGTAGAGAATGGGTGACTGATTTAGGGTTTCTATAACAATTGGCCCATAAAACCATTCAAGTCCCTTACAGCTCTCAAAAGCTTAAAAATAAATAATGAAGTATAAAACCCAGATACATACTGCCAAGGAGATCGGAAGACACACAAACTGAGGCATGAGATGACTAAAGTTAAGGGGAATAGCACACAGTCTCATCAGTACAAACACCACTGAAACACAGCAGACATTAAACTATCATGCAGGTGAAATAAAATGGCACATAAAAGCCATTCACAAGTTCAACAGCTTTATGGCATGGTTCCTCTGAGTCCTTCAATAGCCAACAAGAAAAATCAAGGTCCAGCTAAGACTAAGAAGCATCAGTGATCAAGAGAAGGAGTCTGAATACAGCAAAAATTATTTTAAGAATATGTGATACTAAACCTCAAATTGTGAAGTATATATTAAAATGAAGGGACAGAGGGTCATAATAAGGTTTAATTTACTCTTCCTCACTTATATCCCCATCTGTAGTATTGTGTCTACATCTGGAGTCCACAAGAAAGAAGTTAGAGCAGGTCCAGAGAAGGCCACAAAGATGTTCAGAGAAACAGAGAACCTCTCCTACAAAGACAGACTGAGACAGCTGGGATTGTTCAGCCTGGAGATAAGGCTCTGTAGAGACCTCCTTTTGTCTTGACAGTACTTAATGGGAGCTTATTGAAAAAGAGGAAGAACAACTTTTACACAAGTAGACAGTGGTAGGACAAAGGGGAATTAATGGTTTGAAACTAGAAGAGGAGAGGTATAGATTAGATCTTAGGAGGAAATTCTTTACTCAGAGGGTAGTGAAACACTGGAACAGGTAGCCCAAAGAAGCAGATGCCCCATCCTTGGAAGTGTTCAAGGTCAGGTTGAATGGGATTCTAAATAACCTTGTCTATTGAGTGGCATTCCTGACTATGGCAGGGGGATTTCAACTAGATTATCTATAAAGTCCCTTCCAACCCAAACCATTCTATGATTCTATGAAGTCATACCTGGATTTGTACTTCCTGCTTCCAATATCAAGTCATTCAGAAGTCATGCACCAAAATAAAACTTATTACTGAAGTTAAAATCCCAAAACACTTTAAAATGAGCTGCTTCTCATACATCCAAGAGTATTAGGATGTCAAGTACGTTATTTTCCAAAAATTCCAATATATGCAGTTATATGATTGACCTTTTTTCCTGCAAAATGAGCCCCCGATGACAGCATGACTCCAAGTCTCTGACATCTTTGGTGCAAAAATCCCACTCAAGTGCCTAAATATGAGGGTTACCATGTTTTTGTGCATAGGTACCTCAAAAATCTTTTAATGATGGCAGTCATTCAAAGAATTGCAACAAAGACACTGTAGCAGGTGCTTCAGTCATCCAAAATCTGGTCTTTGGCACTACTGACCTAGTCATCTTTGAGGAAGCCTGAGTCAGAGCTGTGTATCGTGCTCTACTGTCTCAGGTTGTGTGCTCACTCCACAGCAGCAATGTGTGCCAATATGTGTGCCAAGGACGCCCACTGCTGGCTTGTTATCTTTGACATTTTTAAGGCTCTCATGAGTGCTTTTGACTGGATCTTTTTTAAGACATGTAGATAATAAGGTGCTAGCAAACACTTTTCATTCTGAGTAAGAAAGTCAGTCCAAATTACTTAAAGGCAGCAACAAGAAAACTGTGCTTAACAGAAAAGCATAGCTAAAGAGGCAGAACTAAAACAATGGAAAATTTTACACTAAGATAAACACAAAACTTGGTGAAAAAACTAGCCCGTTAGAGAGTAGAAGTGCAAAAGGACCATGAGTGTAGAGTACTAGGAAAAGAAGAAAAGGATGGAGAAAGAAGATGAAACAGAGTGTTTCAGAGATGAAAATCAGTGAGAGGAGTGTTATCACCAATACAGAAATCAAGGCAGCATGTAAACAATCAGTTTACATGACAGATCAGACATCTAGCAAACAAACAGCATCATCCTACTGCTTCTGAATAACCACCATACAATGTGTGTGGGGAAGAGTGAAAACTGTGAGAGCAAAATTAGCATTCAGTGTGTTCTCTGCAAAAGACCAATGCTACAATTTTCTCTAAGAACAAAAGACATTAGAGCAAATTTGCCTGGTATGGAATTTTCCTTGGGCAGCCCATCCAGAAAACAATAGATGGTCAAAGACAGTAAGCTACTGCTTTGTTTCCCATTTTATAACTTGCATCAAAAAGAGCTTTCTTACCTGCCTGTGAACAGCTGATGATGTTACTATGACAGTGAGTTTCAGGGATGTTAATACTCATTTGCAAAATTTTCCCTACTGGACTGGAGGTTAAAAATACACACACATATATATTTATCATATATTTATATTTATCTCAAGAAGGCACTGTCTCTCAATCTGCCACCAACTCTTATTCCTTTCCCTTTAGCTTCCAACTCCTCCAAAGAGCGGTGGCATGAGAAAGAGAACAATTTGCATACAGTGCTCTGTTGAGTGTGCTGGATTTACAAATGTCTAGTAGGATTTAAATTACTGTTTGCTTGTCTCTGATATTAAAGCACTGGTTAGCGACTTCTGTTACTTAGATTTTCAATGCAGTATAAAGTAACATCACATTTGACTTTTAAACTTAAAAAAAAATGGATTAAACAGTCAGAAATAGAAGAGAAATCGCATTATCACAGGGAGTGTCGTTTTGGAGGAAGCTTATAATCCAACTAGTAATAATCTGGAAATGTTACACTTGTGGAGATCAAGCAATCCCTTGCCTTGCATGAGGTACTTCATATTTGCATTTGCAAAGATGAGTAACAAGGTGTGTAGACTTTGTGGGTGCTAGAAATGCATACAACATAAGAATCTGGTCAGTGGAGGATGCACACAAAGGACAGTCGAGGATGCAAGACTGTATGTACATGAGTTGACTTTGAAGGTGCAGAATCTCTAACATCAGGTTAAAGAGAACCTTGTATTTGTCTTTGTATACTTTAAACAAGCTTACTTGTCTCAATTTTTTAAAAAAAGTTTGCTTTATGAAGGCAAGATATAAAACTTAAAAATCACCTTTAATGGCTGCTAAATATCCTCTCAGCTCTCTCTGGAGTCTGGAACCCTCTGCCTGCAAAAGAAGAAAAAAAAAGCATGGAAGTGAAAACACATCAGTTATGTTTAATGCCTTGAAACATGCATGCAGTACATCTAACAACTAAAAGCAACTTCAGGACCTATCTAATTAATAGTGTCACATGTTGCAAGCATGCACAGTTTCATATAAAAAGAGGGCCTGGCAAAGAAGGCTTGCACAGTGTACTCTCTAGGCTAGAATTTCTGCATTTATTTTAGCAATCATCTGTACAGGGAAGAACTCTACCCAAAGAAAGACAGGTAAATTTTACAGCTAAGGTATAGTTCAAGTCAGCTGGGCCTATGGCCTAATCTGACACACAAAGAAGTATCATCAAAACTGGTGAACTTCCACTGGAAACCACTCAAATGAGGCCAGTCTAGATCCGAAGAGAGTTCTACCCTTACACAAGTTGTTTACTATATTTGCAAACAATTTCCCCAGTATTCTAAAATTTTAACATTTTGAAAGCAAATAAGTAATAAAATATAATAACATTAGTTACATTTTTTTGCTTGCATAGTGCATCTTGCAGTCTGCTGTGAAATCTTGACTCTTTCTTTGGCAAATACATCAAAATTATCTTTCTTTCTCTTATACCAACAACCTTGTCAGAATAGAGAAAACAATGGATTTTGTTATTTTATCTCTGACTGTACCACAAGTTGGACTTCACAGTTCTTAGGATTTGCAAAGAAACCTGCAATAACCTGCAATAAATTTGCAAATAACCTTTACTTATTGCTAAAAAGATGCTGTCCAGGACACCTTCAATAGCCTGAAATTTTTTGAAAGAGTCCGCATTTGCCAGTTTCCAATATTTTTCAAATAATTTTTTTAAGCAGTTGGAAACTACAGGAGTATCAGCTTGCAGTCATCTTTTCTCACATACAGCTACACCGTGTGGAAAAATCAGAAACAAAATATCACTGACAGCTTCAAAATACGACTGACTGCTTTGGAGTTTCGTATTTTCCATGTGAAAAACAGAATCTAAAGGGTGCATGTGAATAATGTGAATATTTTAGAAGGCAGAAGGTATAAGATATTATAACTCAACTCAAAGGATGTCTTCTATCAGTAAAGGATTTGCCATCAGCAACTTCAATGCTCAGAGAATTCAGACACAGAGGATCATAAGAAATTCAGTTTGATAGGGGCTATATGATGCTTAAAATCCATCAAAGCTGCCGCCATGTTAAGTCAAAATTGTGGTTCTGAAAAAATATTTGTCTCACCAGTACATAGAATACAATGCAGGTCACACCCACCAAACTCACTTCTCTCAGCTTCTTGAAGGGAACTGAAGGCCTTTAGAATGGGATCTTCAACAGCCCCACCCCCATCTCTCAAATTGTAGTGTACTATAAGAAGAGAGCAACTGTTTAATCTCCTGGAAATATTAAAGAATTTGGAAGGTAAAAATGCCTGTGTGGGCCTAGAAAGCAGACTGAATTCACTTTATGAATTCAAAAAACAGAAGCTTCCTTTTACACTAATTTGATCTGAAACAAGTCACGTACAGCTCTCAAATCCATTAATCAACTAAAATCTGAGCACAGGAATACCACCAGGGGTATACCACCAGACCACCAGAGTGCTATCTGAAAAGCTGCTGGGTAACAGCAGGTATGAGCAGCCAGCCCGCTAACCATTCTCTGGTTTGGGACCATATTTGATGCTCCAAGGAAAGGCAACCTCTTCCCCTGCTTTGGAATCAAAGCTGCCTATCAAAACAAGGGCCAGACAAGTGCACGGTGAGTATCAGTGGATTTAACCTCAAATTTAATTACTTGCAGAACAACAGAAAGTTCTGAAGTAGTAGCTCGATGTTGTGTCCTTTGAGAAAATATTATGCATACATTTTAATACTTCTGTATTTAAATACTTTTAATACTTTTGTATTTTATTTATTACACTTTAATACTTTTAGCAGAAGATACTACCCTAAAGTGTCATTGCAACACATTATTTCATGCTACATAACAGAGCAGAAGCTAACTTCATTCTGTGCTCAAGCAGTAGGCATGGAGAATCAGAAGTTGTCTGTTTTCCATGGACCAAGGCATTAAGTGATCAATGCTTCTACAGAGGAAAGGAGATTGTAGCCAGGAGCAAATTTCTTGATCTCATGTCTGAAGAGAAGGATCAGCAAATACTTGACAGAAACTAGATGGGAGTTGCCCTTTCATGCATGCCAGTCTGCTCCTGGGAGGATCCCTTGTACTGTGAGAAGTCACATGAAGGCACAGAAGTTATGTTTTAATTTCATACCTTCTTTGGCCTGAGCTAGTGTGGTAAAAATGGAAGGTATAGAAACTTGGTTCTTCATCATAGTCCAGCTGGATAGGTGACTACGTAGTAGCAATTTTTAGTTACTGAAAAATCTCTGGTGTTCCAGAAGCAGCAAACCACAGTTGGAAGGGTGAGAACCTCCTTAGCTGATTTCATGTCCAGTTTTATTCATACACATGATGTTTTGTCACTAGGACTAAGCAGCACACCACAAATGTCAGGGAAACACATTGCTCAAACACTCTGTTTATAACTATACTGCTGTGCAGCTTTACAACTGCTACCCTAAACCACTATTAGATCTGTTATGCTTGGTTAGCATTGTGAGTCATCAGGAACTGCTGTTCAGGGAAATGTGTAAGAAAAAGTCAAAGCAGTAAAATGATGTAAATATTTTGCCGTATGTGCTGTTATGAGTTCTGACACTTCATTAAAAATAATAATTTTAATATGGATCTCCCTCAGTCTAAGTTATTAACAGGCCACAAACACCTGAAATATCTAAACATGATAGAGTCATATGACCTTTCCCTCATTATCAATTGTTGTGTGATGTGACACTGAAAAATCCATGAGCAAGGGCCGGCTCCTACTGAATCTGAGAGATATTCTCTCAGTTCCAATGGCAACAAAATTAGACCTTTCTAGAAATACCAGAAAAAAAATTAGCATCAAAAGCCCTCAGCCCTGTGAATTCTGAAAAATGTGTATCTGGTCTACACATTTTCTATAGTAAATTCATTATTAGTGAAGACAGATATACTTTTGTCATCTAACAGACTAATGAAAATTCATAAGAAGAAAATACTGCATTGCTGACTATGCACTAGTTTTCTTTTAAATTTGTAGCATTTAAGCATATCTTAGCACTGGAAGTAAGAAAAAGAGCCACAGAACTGTTGGCTGTGAGACTGACAAAACCTAAAAAAAGTTAATGATGAAAACTAAAACGTCATAGTTTCTGTCTAACCAGCTCTTGCTTCCTGTGGATTAGAAAATCTGTTGCATCCACTCAGAAATTAAAGATCATCTTGCCTCCACAAAAGTTGTAATTGGATGTCCTATTTGCTAGGAATCATGAATTTACAGCTTTCCAGTCAGAACAGAAGAGTTTGATTTTTCTATCATGTCACATACAGGATGTAAACACAATACATCTTTCCAGGAAATGTTAGCACATGAATGACATACAAAACCCAAATGTATCAGTCCAATTTAGTGAGAGGCAAGAGCATTAAAAATATTGAAACGGAAGCACAGGGTAATTAATAACATATATAATAATAATAACAACAACAACAATTAAAAATGGCAATTATTAATGCAGCTCTAATTAATACCAGAATTTCATCATTCTATTGCTAAGACATCAGAGAAATAGCTGAAAAGAAAACATTTTTTGTATCACCTGGAAGATATTCTTTATTGTAATGTGCTGTTACTTGTCACAGTGTTGAGCAGTGCTGTCTCTTGTTCATAAACACTTTAGGTACAATTTACTGCTAGGTCTTTTACAGAACTATGTAGTATGAATAACTTTTAAATTAAAAGAAGCTTAACATAATAAAAGGCTACTTGGACAAATCTGTAATTCAATATAAAATCTATCTTCTTTCCAAAGTACTCTATTTTATCAATGTCATCTTTTAAAAGACAGGTGTCTGCTGTGGAAGGCAGGAACCTCTCTTGCAATGGAGAATATGACCCCCTTCCATCCGAATTATTATAATTTTGAAATTAAGGGGCTTTCAGACAAAGATATAAGAAAAGGAATAATGTTTTTTTACTAGTTTGCATATGGATAACAAGGCAACAGTGGGAGTGACAACAAACAGAACCACAAACCCAGTAACAGCCTTCACTCGCCGGCAGGCGCTTTCCCCTTTGGTGTAGTTGCGGTCACAGTCAGCAAGGGCGCTGTTGGCTCCTGGCCAGGCAGGGAAGGTGAGATGCAGCTGCAGGGGACGCTGTGCACACGTTTCAGCCGCCTCTCCCCACACCGTAATGGTGGACACAGCCGGCAGAAAGGGACGGAGAATGGGCTTCCATTACAAACTCATGGGGGGCAGCCAGTCCCGGTACCCCCTCTGGATAGCAAAAGGAGCTGTAGCAGGCACTTCGGAAGCAGCAAGCTGGAACAGCAGGGATGAGCAAGATCCCGGAGTGAGAAATGAAATGTATGAAATGTGTCAGAAACTCCGCAGCCATAGCTGGAGCTGCAGGGCGTCCCGCCAGGCAAAGGGCTGTGGGGCCACAGCAGAAGAAGCAGGGCAGGGCTGGGCTCCAGTGGCGGCAGTGAACTCCGCCCCACACCAGTAAGCAGCAACTCCATGGTCCTCCTCCAAAGCCAAGGCTAAGACAGCTAGGAGCTGCGCCCAGCTCCATTTTTCCCAGCCCAGTTCTTGCGGTATCTCTGTCCCTCCAAGAGAAACCTCCCAGCCAAGAGAGTAGCCAGCTGCACCCTTCCTGTGGCAACTTCTTTTTTCTCTCTTAAGTATCAGTCGTGATGGTTTCTTAATGAGAGATGGGACAAAATTTCATGAGAGAAAGAAACAAAAGGAAAAATCCTAAACCCTAACAATCAGGTTCCTTATATTCCCTAGAACTGTCTTCCAAATTCTGGCATATTTTTCTTAAAGAAATAGATTTTCTTTTTTTCTTTTTAAGCTCTAAGAGATTTGGGTTTGATTTGGGTTTTG